GATGAAAAGGAAAGATAGAGATGTTATGATGAAAAGGAAAGATAGAGATGTTATGAGGAAAGATAGAGATAATGTGGTGAAGAGGATGGATGGAGATGTGATAAAGAGGAAGGAAAGTATTTGTAATTTTTTTTTTTTTTTTGCACGACGTAACTTTTATATGATTTATATATATTACATGGCTTTCAGTTAAATCCCACATTTATCTAGAAGTAATCGGAAGAAAGAAGTGTTAAATATAGTGGCATTGCCAACTGATTTAGCTCACCTTTCACCAACAGAATTTGTTTGAGGTAAGCGGATTAAAAGGTGAAGGTACAATCTCTGTTTCTATAGATCTAACAGAAATGTTGATGAAAGATTCGTCAAACTGTAGTACTTCGTAGAACTTAAACACAATTCCAAATATTGCTTGTGTTTGGGGATTTTTATACACTCCTGAAAACTGAATTCAACAAACTACTAACATATTTATCATCAAAAAGAAAGTAATTTATTTTAGTCTCGGACTTAAAGATATTGCTTTGTTTCTACGTACAGCTATTGGTGTTTCATAGCTAATGTTTTATTTGTACTCAATGCCCTAATAAAGTAATAACGATGAGAGGGGTACAAAAACGTTATATATATATTAAAGGAAAGAATAGGTGTATTTTTGCTGTTAGTTCTTCCTTCATACAGTTTTGTGTTAACATCTGTATGCTGTACATCAAAGTTTTAATTAGTTTTTCTTTAAATCCCGTTTTTATCTTGACTTTATTTCACCATAAAACATGTTTCCCTTCTGAATTAATTCTACACCACATTAACTCTGTAAGTCTATTCATAAAGTTAATGGTTAGACGGAAAGGGGTTGTTTTCTTGGCATAGGTTATACAAATTCTATAAACAATTCATGGAAACAGTTTATTAGCTCTCTATGCTCCGTAAATATTATGAGAACAGATTGTATATTTTTCATTCAGAAGTACGAAGATCAAAGTAGCTGCACTACCACTTTTACTTAACATACGACTGTCATAGCATAAAAGTGCTGACATGTAGAAACCTATCATATTTATAAGAATCTATAAAATGTAAGCTTTAACTCTTACCCATCAATAAATAGCCTTGTAATTTACTTCAGTATTGAATGTTGAATCGAAAATCATTTATCCCCATCCGTCAAGTAAATTTATTTTGCTAATATTACGATTTATCATACTATGAATTTAATACACATTCGTAAACACAATATCGTACAATATTCTTCTGATATCTAATACTTATAGAGGTACACAACGTCTTAAAATGGGTTTTTAATTGCATAAAACTAATAAATTGTTTTTTTATAGTTAAATATCCGAAACAGAAACTGTTGACTTATTTCTTCTAATGTCCAATTATGTTATCAAATTACTTTTCCTTGTTTTCAATCCCTTTCGTTTTTCAAAGTAAAACAAAAAATAAAAAACCTTTTCTCGGCATATCAAATGTGTCTCTAAAGGTGAATTACTTTTTCTTACTAACAGATAATACCAAAAAAGTTCAAACCAGTTTTCTATACTTGCAGGATTTTAACTAATTGATATGTAAAAAATAGTAAAGGAATTTCAATGCTATTTTTAATTTTATAATAATAATAACACTAGTCGGTAGTTTTCATGGCCGTCGCTTGAATTGTCCTTATTCTATCATTTTCACGCACGGCATTTAAGGCACTATATGTTAGATCCATAGATCTATTTGAGATCTATATCCATAGATCTATGGTCTATTTGAAAAAAAAAAAAAACTTTACGCGGTCAGAAAAACAAACTCACGTAGGTGTAACTTTATTTAATAAAACCACACGTAAAGTAAACAATAAAGTATAGTAATGGTATTTACAGTAGTGTACAGAGTATGACACAGTTATGAGCGTTTAGTGTATTACACGCTTTTATGAGTTGAAACAAAAACTCCCGAAAAAGCGAAGAGCAAAACCCGTAGTAAAGAAAACATATAGCTGAAAAGTGTTTATAGCAGTCTATGAAAGGAACTAAAGTTAAATTATTGCAAAGTAAAGTAAATGTAAAATTGTAATGAAGGCAAACTTAGCTGAATATGCAGAGACGTCTCAATGTGTATTCACAAAGTGCTAAACATATGGTTTTGAATGAACTGCACATGCTTATTTTAGACCCAAATAAGTCTTCTCAGCTCATAGCAATTGTATTTAGCGTAATTATATTTTTTTAGGAAATTACATGCAGGTTAAGTGTTCTTGGTGTGAAATACTTTGCAAATAAAAAACTAAAGGTGAAATCGAAGCCAGTAGTCACGTGATGACAACGATATTGTGCTATCGTGTACCATACTCGTTGCATTAAAAAGTTTGACTAAGCAAAAACAGGTAAAGTGACTCTGAATTGAAAAGCCAATATGCAATCCGGACTCCTCAGACAAACGTATTTCTAACGATATAGATTTGTAGCGTTTGATCGAGAAATTTGGGAGAAAAATTCCGGACAGATAAACACAAGGATATTATTTATATAGATTTAAGCACAGGATTTTTCCCTCAATCAAAGAAGAAGTGAGGTTTTGGGGACGGAAAGACAGGAAAAAAAGAAATTCATTTATGGACGTTTTACATAAATCACTCGAAATTTCGAAATCTGCTTTATTCAAATATGCAATTTATATGATGTTAACTTATTTTATTCGGGAGTTATGAGCACTCAAAGAGACATAGGCTTTTGGATTAGGGGCACCACTTTACCTACCATGGTTATCCAAACGAATTGGTTATCTCTTATTTTTTTATTATTCTCAAATCAAGCTATGCAACCTTTCTTCATTGTCTGTTTGAGTTTAGAGTCTTTTTTTCTTGACCTTCTAATCTGGCGGAAGGCTACTCGTACTATAGCTACTGTCTTTATCAATACCAAACCTATTTTTGGGTTTGACAGATTGATTTGTCTAAAAAAAAAAAGCTGTCAAATGGCGATTGCATCCACATCCACAGGTTTCAAGTCGAACATCTAGGAACCTTGAACATATAAGTAATTGAGATAATAATGGCGAAGAGTATCAAAGTTTCAGTCACGGTCAGCGTGGCTTGGAGGTATCTGCTGAAAACATTGATCTTTGGTTTGACAAACAGAAGCAACGACCGGAGAAGAAGGCTCACGTAATGGATCCATCGGTTACACAACAAGATGTGTCACGGATTAGACGTAAAAAAATATGGAATGTGTCCTATTTTGGTGGAACTTATATACAGGATGTAGCATGTGGTTAACATTTGTCCGATATGGAAACTTTAAAGTGTAATCGTCATATCTCAAATATCTAATACAATTTCATGGTGAATAATATTTACTGCTGCACAATCCTTTACGTACTCGTATAGAATATGTTATATTATAACGATTTTGAATAAGTAAAGCAGCAGTTGACAAACACGAACGATATATAGTCACTGTATTAGAGCTACATTTTAATATTGCTCGACTTTACTTATGGTATTATGATCCTGTCAAACATTGATCGCTTTTTGGAATGGTAACAGCCCTTTCCGATGCAAAACATTCATACACTCAAATCATAAAGCTGTGTTCAGATTTGGAATGTAGGATTTCCAAACCAAAAGTATCTCCTATACTCAATGGTATTGGTAAAAAAGGTAATGTGGATCAACTTGAAACACCAGATCCATCCAGAAAGAAAGAAAGTTGAACTAGGTCACAGGTGAGAATCTACGAACACAAAGATCAGTGGCAAAGATCGTCCAAATGTCCCCACCAGTGGCGGCAAAGCTTTTCGCCCAATCCCAGGGCACATCAGGCTGGCTAAGATACGACAGACTCAGTAGTGATTCGGCCCGTAATGGCCAGGTGGTTAGGGAGCTCGACTCACAATAGGCGGGTCACGGGTTCGAATCCCCGTTCCACCAAACATGCTCGCCCTTTCAGCCGTGGGGGCGTTATAATGTGACGGTCAATCCCACTATTCGTTGGTAAAATAGTAGCCCAAGAGTTGGCGGTGGGTGGTAATGACTAGCTGCGTTCCCTCTAGTCTTACACTACTAAATTAGGGACGGCTAGCGCTGATAGCCTTCGTGTAGCTTTACGCGAAATTCAAAACAAACAAAACAGTAGTGATTGAAACTCTGTTTATATTATCGATTTACATGAAAACTGCCTGTTATGGTGGAACTGTATTACGTTTGTGAAGTGTAATTTTTATCATTAGTACTGAGGATAGGTAATTAATTAAGCCTAATAGCATCATAAGGTGCTCAGATAACTTTAAAAAGTATTATTTAACTACGTGGAGCCTAAAATCTAAACGTATAAATTTGTTTATAAAGAGATTTGAAGGCGATGGGACGAAAACTATATCTTCTAGCTTTTATGATCATTTTTTTTTTGTTTTAAAATTTAGACTGAAACTCCATTTCAGCTTTGAAGATTCACGTGAGTTCTCAGACTAAAGAAGTACTGAATAACTTTGGATCGTTTCGCTTGGAACTTCGTGGAGAAGTGGAAATGAAGGTATGTTCAACATTAATGAACCAAATGATGTGCCATTTAACATCAAATGAACCGTTTTTATTTTAAAAATGAAAACGATTATAGTATTTTGTTTGTCAATTCGTTTGTTTTTAACGTTCATGAATTAGCCTTCATGATAATATTTTTCTTGTTTTGGATCTTCGCTTATAATATTTTTTGCGATTGTGTTACGAGCCGATTAACTTCGGAGTTATTTTGTTTTCAAAATGTTCTAATAAGTTATTTATTCAATGAAAACAATTTTTATTTTCCAAAAATATTGTATTTTAATTTGATTATTATAAGTTTTTTATACTAGTTTGAGGTGACAAAAATTTTTTATCTTGAAACGATTATGCTCTAAATGATTGATATGAATGATTTGGCTTCACTTTTCACTACCAGTTTTTGAACTTACTGTAGCTCTGCGCGATTTACAAATTCTGTGATTTATTACTTTTTCACTTATAAATTTTTATCAGTTTTGAAATCTTAATTTTTGGATGTTATATCACGGGTTTCCAAACCAAGGTTATATATTCTCGACTTTGAACGATTTTGAATTTTTACGATATCACTGATGTCAATAGAGTTGTATTAATACATTACACTTATACATCACGTGCGATGTCTGTAGCACATGAATATATTTTTTAAATTTAGAACAGAATTTCAGTCAAAGTTTGAATTTCAACGTATCATGTACTGAATTTTTGAATTAGTGATTTTGACAGTTTACTATTTTTTTCCCCGAATGAAAAACGTTGACGTTCTAAACGCGGAAGCACAACTATAAATAATAATTTCTGCATGGCATATTTTCTACTTGTAGGTGTGCTGAGTTCATTCAATGAATAAATATTTAACATCAACACTTTTTTAATACGTTTTAGCTCAGCTTGGAATTTATGCGACAGTTTTTAAGCACACTAGAACTTTGTGCTTATATAATACAAGTCAGTCTTTACGACAATACAGCCTTGTTTCTGCAGGTTTACTGTATATACAGTCTTGTTTAAAAATGAATATAACCCGAGTGCTTTCGAAAGATGGACCTTTCTTCTTCGGTTTGCCCCTGAAAAAGAAAGGTCCATCTTTCGAAAGCGCTCGGGTTATAGGGTTTTTACTCATTTCTATCAAGACTTCTTGAACCTACGTGTTTTTCTAACAGCATGAATACAGTCTTGTTTACTCAAGTTCACTATTTATGCAGATTTACAATAAATATAACCTTGATTATGCAATTCTACTGTATTTATTCACGTTTACTGCATATAAAACATTGTTTATTAAAGTTTACTGTATATACAGTCTTGTTTACTCAGGTTCACTATATATACAGCCATATGTATGCAGGTTTACAATAAATATAACCTTGATTATTCAATTTTAATGTATTTATTCACGTTTACTGCATATAAAACATTGTTTATTAAAGTTTACTGTATATACAGTCTTGTTTACTCAGGTTCACTATATATACAGCCATATGTATGCAGGTTTACAATAAATATAACCTTGATTATGCAATTTTACTGTATTTATTCACGTTTACTGTATATAAAACCTTGTTTATTCAGGTTTACTGCATATACAGCCTTGTTTATTCATGTTTACTGTATATAATCGTTATAATACTTCTGTTTTTTTGTATCCAAAAAATTGTAACCCGAGGTGGTCATTTTTTTTCCACAATCAATACAACTCTATTGTGTCATTTATTAATGTAATTAACAAATAAATTAAGAACAGAAAAAGTATCATCAACATATCACCTGTTATAAATTGTTTGAATTTAGTGGATCCTTGTTTGTTTCCATAAAAGCTCAATAAAGTTAACTTGTAATGGTTTCGTTCTAAGAGATTGGAAAATGAGAATCAATACGGCTGATAGCTCTTCAAAATCCATTATTGAATTTAGAATTTTTCAGTCTGCTAGTTGATGCTATTTTCAGTAAGCGCTATATAAATAGCTAAAAAAGCCATGATTTAAGGATTTGAAAAAAAAAATTATTGGAGTTATTTTCAGAAAAGGTGGATATTGAACAATGTAATCTGAATCCTTTAGAATAAACACTGAATTGTGTTGAATGTATATGAGATTTTAAGTAATACGTATTTCGTGTCCTGACAGGGAAAGGGGAAGGTTACTACTTACTGGCTTTTAGGAGAAGAAAAGACAACAAATTCCGCCGAACAAACAACAGTGCCAACAAGTAAAGACAACAAACATAATTCAAAAACTTAAGCCTGATTAGTTACAATTGAAACTTTTTGTTTCAACTCAAAGATGTAACCGGACATTTAAAGCCTGATTTGTTGAAATGAAGCTCTATTCCGTTACTGTATTACAACAAAAAAAAAACCTAAACTATTTTTAAGGTAACATTAAATTATTAATAAATGTATGATTAAACACTTTTTAGGGAATCTAATGTACTGTTTATGTGTAGTCACATAAAGTCTGCGAGAACTATGTTTCGATAAAATAGGAGAACCCTAGCACAAAATTTAAATTACATTCGATATTCATCTTTTACCCGAAATACATTTTTTTGGGTAAAACAATATTATTTTATTTTTGTTTGTTTCAATAACACTAATACAATATAACAAAAGTAAGACTTTTTTTCTGAGTTTTTTATCTACGTACTTTTTCGAATACATAATTCTATAACAAACAATGACTCTGCAAGTCTGCTGTTAACCTGTGTTTGAACTAAACGATATCAATTTATACCAAAGATATCTGATTAATTAATAGCAACCATTCATGTTAAATTAAGGTTAACTGGAGGTTGAATCAGTTCTTTCTTGCAGTCAGTAAAGATAAATTGTTCACAATCTAGGTTACAAGTACTTCCATATAGATTAACAATATTTTCTGTTTCGATAACGTGATGTTTAAGTAAAGATACAGAGAATTACATTAACCACAATCTTATCGCATTTGATCCTAAAAACACATTTTATATTATATTTATATTTAAAATCACTGATTTAAAATTGTATGTGTTGGTGGTTGGTGAAAATTATTAAATCTAAGTTATCCTGTATAGTGTTATAAATCAGGGAATCTGGTTTACTTTGTAATAGAATGTTATATTTTATTTGAGTAAAAAAAATGTTATGAATATCCTTGACGTTCTTCCAAGTTTTTAAGTAACAAAATTCAAATAAAATTTAGAAATATTTCAAGTTTCAAACATTGAATATTTTGAGTGCATGCCTAAAACACTAAACGAAATATATTATTTCTAAAATATAAATTCATTTTTTTTTACTTTTTAAGGCACCCTTCCGTTGTAACTAATATTAAAATAATACCATATTTTACATCAATGATAAATACAAACTGTTCTCAACGTATCCATAAAATGTTTACTTGTTTGTTGTTAAGCGCAAAGCTACACATTGATTTATGTGCACTGTTTACTGCTGTACCAGCGGGGAACTCTATTTACATAAAATAGTTACTTTCTGACATTAAAGTGGCGAAAACATTTTACGTTACCATTAATTTCAATTCGTTGAAAACAACCCACCTTTCTGTAACCGTTTTTATGCGTTAAATATATAATTTACAGCTTTGTTTTCGGGTAGTAGCGTTATTATTATCTTTACGTTGAAAATTAATTATAATTTATATTTTCTTTAATACAGAATGATTTTTTACGTATAATTACACATGTATTGCGACAAAGTTTCTAGACAAAAAATGTTTAATTTTCTAAAGAATTTCTCTTAATACAATAAAACCAATATTTTTTTAATGAACTGACATGATCACTAAATATCAGGCCATGTGCGAGAAACCGAACAAGGAATGTTCAGTTTTTTATTTCATTAGGAGGAGGGGAACAAAATCATATGGCAACTAGCGAATATAATACTCGAAAGATTTAGGCAGGTGTAACAGAGTTCAATCTTAATGTATATGTTTTAAACAATTAGTTTGTATGCCTACAATACCAGTATTATTAGTGTTCTTATGGAAAGATTTCCAAATTTTAATGATACATGTTACCCTTCGTATGTATACACACACATAAATACACACATATATACATATATATATACATGTATATGAGAGAATATTGTATTATTTTCTATATGATTTACTAATATCAATCCCACATAATGAAATTCAGTTTTCGTCATAATTCGTACATTGGACCTTTTTACGAAAGGATTTATTTGTATAAAAACAAATTTCAAAAATTCTTTGTATCTTTTCTTTCTTAACTCCTATTAAAACTCCGTCTGTTGAAATAATTTAATAAATATAAAGCATTTATTAAAGTTGTATCGAATACTTATTTAAAGAGATTCCCCACAGCAATCTGCTTACGAATATAACCTTCTTAAAAAGTCACAAATAACCTTTCTAGAAGTTGTATTTTTTTTTTTTTGCATCTTTCGTAAGCAGGTGACATCGGAATATTCACTGCAATTATAGCGTTTACAGTATTTAAATTAACGTTTAGGAAAGCATTTGTTTCATCTTCGAGACAAAGAGCATTGATTTTTTGCGATATTGGTAATAATATATTAGCAGTCTAAGACATTCTTGTCATCTCCCCAAAATTCATTAACTTTTCATGAGTTTCACTCATAGTCTTTATAACAAATTCTGTCTTACCATTCGGAGTGCAGAGAATGTGACGAATGGAAAGGCAGCGGAACTGTAGACATTAAGTAGGAAAATAAGAACATCTGCCTTCAGCTTGACAGTCTAATACTTTGATATAATCGTATAACCAAACTTTTCCCCCCTATTCTGTATTTTAATATATTGAAAACTTGTTTAAAGTTCACATAACACAATACTGTTTTCGTACAAACATACAGCTATCAGCTATTTTTGAAATGAAAAATGTCAGATGAATATATATATATGTCCAGTTGTTTTCTTTTGTTATTTAACTCGGATTTTAGTTTTAATATACTTTTATCTTAACTTAGTTTGTTAGATGAGTTCAAATATTTCTCGATAAAGATTTATTGAATTCCATTTAATATCTGTTTCATGTTTGTTGATAAAGACACCCAATATATATATTATGATCGATTTATTACCTGTTATGGTGTCAAATTTTCTGCTGGATACAACTTGGATTTTTCATCTGTTTATTAAATCATTGCACTGAATTTTTCCGACATGTTAAAATGTTTTATTGTTCTATTTACGCTAGATATTAGTTCGTAACAAAAATTATTAGTTCTGTATTTTAAGTGTCAATTTCCTGTGACTAATATCTCAATACCCCCTTCCCAGTGAGAATGTCACATTTGAAGAACAATCGTATATACTTTCTCAAAACAAAGAATGTGTCTGTGTGTACGTCCTGTTTAACGCGTAACGCTACACAACGGGCTATCTGTGATCTCTCTACCACGACGAATCTAACCCTGTATGTTAGCGTTGAAAATCCATAAACGTACCGCTGATCCGCTGGGGACCTCAAATAAAGAAAATTTTACATGATGTATCAATCCTCCTTCCCTATATTCTACCGTTCTACTGTATTCATAAGTAGAAAATTAGATAGACCCTGGTGAATTTTCTTGTTATAGCATTAGTTCATAAATATATTATGCTAAAAGGCTGAAATAAAATATATAAGAAAAGAAACGTTTATGAATACCATAAAGTATCCAAGTTGATTTTGCCTTAGTTAATGAATGTTAACCATAGAATGTTAACTTAAAAAAACGGAATAATGTATCATATTTAAGGTAAATATAAATGATTTTCCTTCTTGTTTAGCCATGTAACAATTAGTTACGAAATGCTTTAAGCTCCAGGTTAACGTTACTAACAGCATTTTTACAATACCTATATATTGAAAATAAATAATTTTTATTATTTTATACTGGACATATTCTCATGATTAATTTTTACTGAACTGTAGATGAACGTACTTCATCCACAATTTCAGGACAAGACATTATGCTGTTGGTTATACAATTTTGAATGGACAGAACATTTCTTGAGAGATGTCACACAGGCCTAAGTTGTGCTTCTTATGGAGAAAATTCTGAGAGCTAGTTAAATGTAAGAATAATAATAATAATAAGACCTTTGGATTCTTCGAATCTTTAGAACGAATGCTATTTTCATTTTTCTTTTCGAATCATATTTTTTCTTAGTGAGAACCTACATTTATTTTCTTCAAAGTGTTCGTGCATATGTGCATATTAAAACATTGATATTTAATTACGCGCATACACATAGCCTTTGTGATGTAAAAAGGGAAATCGTAAAAAATGTGCAACATTAACATTTCATTTTTACACGTTTACTTATATTCAGAAATAGTTGTCAAACAATAATTTTGTATATATTTTCCCCGAGCATGAAATTAAATCGCCTCATTGTTTAAAGTACTCGCTGAATTTATGAATTGTCTCACTATTTTTGTAAAGTATATGTTATATGTAATCTAATTTATGTTCAGTTTATCTTGAAGGCAATTTCCTTAATTGTTCCTTGATCACTAAAATTCTAAAGTTTTGAATCAAACTGTTCTTGAGTATTAAAATTTTAAAAACTGTTTAAGCTTTGTGTATTGTTTATATCAAGGTAGTGCCAAAATAAAACGACTTATTGGTGTTACTTTTATGATTTTTTTTATATTAACAGACACACTTTCAATTTATATTAATAATTATTTTTGAACACAAATGCGATAACAACTTATTTAAAACTAAAAGTATCATCAATAAACACAATTTGATTGCCCTAATGAACCACATTTAATGTTACTTAATGTAGTACAGTCTTAAAGAACTGACCAAGTGAGAATAGTCATCAATATGTACGATACAAAACAGTTGGGAGCTTGTTTGTTTTGAAGTTAAGCATAACTCTACACAATATGCTACCTGCGCTCCGCCCACCACGGATATCGAAAGTCTATTTCTAGTGTTATAAGTCTGCAGATATACCACTATGCCTCTGGGGGCAACAGTTAGAGGACTCTCAATTTATAAAAATAAAATTGTATTAAGTTACCATTTCATTACTCTTTCTTTTTTAACAGTAAGTTCTACTGTAAATCCAAATGTTATTTCAACGTTTAAATTCCTCAATTAGACATTATTGTCTTAGTTTGTCGAATTGCACCATCGATCAAAATAAACCTCTTTTTTTTGTGGGCAAATTCCATATAAGTTTGATTATCTTGTTTTCGATAACCTCAAAACTTTTGACGATAAGCTACTGGTACTAACCCGTATGCTTTGAGAATAGCTGCTTTAACCTTATCATAATTCGTACAATCTTCTGAAGAGAGAGTGCCATAAGCTTCTTGTGATTTACCAGTTAAAACACTTTGTAATAATAATGACCATTTTTCTGTGGGCCATTCCATAGCATCCTTCTCAAAATGTTGGAAATATTTATCAACTTTACTTTCATAAAATGTTGGTATTTTAACGTATCGATTAATTTCAAAGTTGTCATTTTGCCATGGTCGATCGGAGTTGAATCCAATTTCCATTTCTTTCAGTCTAATTTCTTTTTCGGCTTCAATGCGAGCTTTTTCGGCCTGGAGACGTCTATTTTCTTTTTCAGCTTCGATACGAGCTTGTTCTTTCTCAGCTTCAATACGAGCTTGTTCTTTCTCAGCTTCGATACGAGCTTGTTCTTTCTCAACTTCGATACGAGCTTGTTCGGCCTCGAGACGTCTATTTTCTCTTTCAGCTTCGATACGAGCTTGTTCTTTCTTGGCTTCGATACGAGTTTGTTCTTTCTCAACTTCGATACGAGCTCGATTTGTTTGAGTTTTAACTGTATCTCTAATTTATCTTTATCACTCAACCCCGATTGGCTAGTAGAGACACTAGAATATTCCTCTAATGCTTCCTCAGGCAACAAATCATCATCGACTAGTATTTCGATAATACGCTTTTTTAGCACATTTTTTCTCATTGATCTTTTAACTTCTAGTTCTAAAACGTTGGCAGTTTCGAACAATTCATTGTTGTTATATCTTTCTAGTTGTTCGAGGGAGGGTGATTCAAAAAACTCTTGATAATCAGACATGATCAAATCTTGTTGTAACTGATAGATATAAGTTGAATTGTGATTTAAATTTTAATTTAGATCGAATTTTGTATCT